AACGCTCTATCTCCTCTTCAAACTCCTCGAGCACCTCGTAGTCAAGGGACCTCGTGGAGGGCTGGTCGTCGTAGGGGTAGTAGTCCTCGTTCAAACTCTTCATTACTACTACGGGTTTAAGGAGAACTTACGATCTAAGGGTGTTTAGATGCCTAACACTAGATCAACTACTTACGGAACAAAATATGAAAAGTGAGGAAGATCATGATGAACACTAACCTCAAACAATGAAGAACACGAAGAACAGGCTTGGGAGTTTCTCTCTCTAGAAAATCGGCCAGCACTTCGACAAATTCAGAATGCAAATGTGATTCTTCGTCGGAGGGGAAGGGGTATTTATAGACCCCCCACCAACGGTCACTACACGTGGCACTCACCAAATGGCCACATCAACGGCCACCACTGGGGGGCCACCACGTCCCCAACGGGCCAGGACCAACCCACATCAACGGCCCACTGGCAAATCAGACTCTACGGCTTACACACACTCAACGGCTTTACAACTGCCAGCAAGCGCCCTCAACGTCCCATTTGCTCACCAATATCACAAATGCCAAACAATAAGAGGATGGCAACGGCCAGGTACGTAATGGCCACAGAACAAAGGGAACAAATAGCCCACAGCCTTCGGCTCCTCGTAATAACCCTTGATGATAACTCTCTACAAGCGATCTGCGCACAAGGGTTCTCCCACAGGGTTACCTTGGCCAGAAAATCGCCATGAGAGTTGGATCCAGGGGGACTACGGCGAGACCGCTTCGGCCAAGGACTCAGGCAACTCCTTCACCCCTCACTCTCTTCGGCCTGAAGCAGTGGGGGACTGGGGGACTACACCGGCCTCAACGAAACAAAGGTATAAACAAGGTAACCACAAAAAATGGCCACATCATCCATACAGCACAACAGAACCTCATCGGCCAAAGGCCCATAACGTCACTAGCAACGGCCAACAGGCCACTAGAGGCAAGGATACTCATCGTCCTCCGCCAACAATTAATCTTGACGGGCTCTTCGGCCAAAAACACAAAGGAACAACCTCAACGGCCTCACCGGCCCAAACGTAAACTTCAAACACCAACGGCCAGGAAAGGGAAAGCGCGCCCTCAACGGCCACCATTGAAGGAAGGACACTCATCGTCCCAAAACACATTAAGGAAATGACGGCCTCCCCGCCCACAGCAAGGAACAGGTAACGGCCAAAGCACAGAATAGGATCACCAGAGGAAACAACGCCAACGTCACAACGGCTAACGGCCTGGAAATGCCCGCGTCGGCCAAAAGCAACAAAGCACAGAAATCTACTCTCCTTCACTTCGTCTACGTCTCAGCTTAGAGAGTGGGGGACTCCTGATGGAGTATATGGGTCTGAGCCCCAGGACCCACATACTCGGAAGAACAGAGCACAAGACAGAGTGGCGCCCTCGTCAGCCAAACGCCCTCGTCGGCCGAGAGGAAGCCAACCCGGATTATGATCCCGAGTCCAAGGAACCCGGGTGCCCCCGTCGGCCGTGCCCTCGTCGGCCGTGCCCTCGTCGGCCGTGCCCTCGTCGGCCACGACCTCGTCGGCCACGACCTCGTCGGCCACGAGGACCTCCCAGAATCGGATCCTACACTTACTCACTTGTACAGCCCATTAGTGGCTTTGTATTCGGCCCAGTAGCGGTCCAGTTGTAAATGGGCCTCCCAAGCCCAAGGCTTGGGAGCCCAACCCTAATTTTCTCTATAAATACTCCCCTTGGGGGTAGTTATAGGGGGGACAAATTCATTCTATTGAAGCATATTATTGCACTTCTCTCTCTAGCTCTCACTTCTCTCTAGAATTCAGGAGATATACTCTATCAACAAACTTTTCATAAGAATGGATCACCATTCCATTCTTAGAATGGAGCAGCACTTTTATTTTTTTAGTGAGGTATGCCATTGGCTTGCATCAAGGATATTTTTTTAAACAGTTCAGGTTCACTTTATTATATACATTTTTTTAACAGAAAACCGAATTTTATTGATAAGGGAAAAACAGTACAAGGCGAATAAAAAGAAAAGCAGTACAGAGAATAAAAAAGAAAAACAAAAAGAGAAAGAAGAGAAAACAAAAAACTAGTCCCAAGAAAAGTCTCTGGATTGAGATCTAGTCGTCATGCTATGACGCCTTTTGTTCTTTTGCGTTTTCCGGTAGATCTTGAGTTGTGTGTTTAAATTGTCTGTTGGCAGACAATTTTCTGATGTGACGAATTTTGCTTTGCGGCAAATAGCCCTGTTGAATTTGGATTTTCTAATTTCTTCCGGGTAGGAGATAGGAGGACGACGATCATTTTCTGTTGCGTGTCCAAGAAAATCGTCTCTGAAGTAAGAATCATCAGAGTGGTCAAAGTTGCTTGAGGCGTCCGAGTAAGCCTGGATCAGTGGCAATTGAGTAACCTGTTGTTTCTCGATACTCGATGCCTGGATTTGATAATTTAAAATCAGTTTAGAGATGAATGTGATATCAGCTGTATCAAAGGTGCTCCTGTGTTGTAAAGAGATTGAGTCGTCCTGCACAAACTTTGGAAGCCCTGCAAAATTAGAAAAAAAATTGATGAATTTAAACAGGCCCGACTTTTTCGGTCCCACAGGAATATGAGCGGAGGTCCCATGATTTTTAGCTAATTTTACGTAGTCGCCTGATCTGTTTGTTTCCAAAGAAACTGTGATATCTCCAAATCGCTTAATCCTTGCAAATTTCGATGCATAATTTGTGAGTTGCGACATAAATCCAATGATTTCAGTCGCTTAATCCCAAAGGGCTTGCATCAAGGATTATATTTTTAAGTAATTATTTGATGATGATTTTGATTTTGGTTTTGTTTCTGGAGAAGATTAAAATTAAGGATGAGAGATTACATTAAGTTGGGGTAAGTATTCACTTTTGCTCTTAATTGGTTTTTAGGAATGCATTATTTTATCTTTGATATTTAGCAGCCATTTATAAGTTTAAAAGGCAATATTTGCAATATGGAGCTTTTTCCCGGAATAATGCTAATTAAATAAATAATTTCCAAAATATTGTTGGATTAAAAATAATTCCCAAAATACTGTTGAGTTAACCATATGATTAACAAAAGCTGCCACTTGAAGTGGCGGCTCTCCATCTTGCTTTACAAAAGCCGCCACTTGGAGTTGCAGCTCTTCTCGTGTAGCACAAAAGTCGCCACTTCGAGTGGCGGTTCATTTATTCACAAACTTATTCCCTTTCTTCCCAGCCGACGAACGTCGAAGGCTCACTCTGCAGCATAACGACGAACGAGAGCAGTGCAGCCGATTTCGATTCCTACCGAAACTAGTCCAAACGAAGCTCAAAACAAAGGGAAAAGAGTCACAGTGTACCCGAGGTCGTTTGTGCTCCATTCTACGGACTTTCAACCGTTTGAATTGAGGTATTTCATCTTTTTTGCTAAACCTAGGTTTTTTTAAAATTTTTGTTCGAAAATCGCTGTTATTTTGGATTATTTTTTTGTATTTGATGTTATGAAATATATAAGTTGGTAATTTAGTTATTATGCTTAAATTTATATATTTTGTAGAATTTGAATTATTTATTATGTTGGTTGGATTGAGTTTGATATATGGGTAGTTTGAAAAAGAGTAATGTAGCACATCATTAATATGTATTTATCTGATTTTTTAATTGAATGAAATCATAAAAATGATAGATATGATTTAATACAATTCGTTTGAATTAGTAGTTGAATTTTCAACGTGCGGCATAAATCATACGGAGTATTTTTTTTGGAATGATTTTTGGTCGAATATGTCTCCAAACTTCCACATTGTTTGTCATTGGGGAGGAATTATTATCGAGGAGTCAAACAGAATTCATTATGAAGGGGGAGTCGGAAGATCATTGTTGTTTCCTATGAGATGAATGTGGTTGAGTTAATGAATAAAATTTATAATGCCACATCCATCAATCGTATGAACAAGTTAGATTTGAAAGTTAAATATCCATTCATGATGGATCATACATGTTGATTCACATGTGAAATCCTTTTAAGATACTCGTACTAAATAAACAAATTTAAATGTTACAAATTCTCAGTGTTACTACGTCTTATTTTTGGATAGAAATATACTTAGATTTGTCAAAATCTCTAAATATACCTTATCAATATATTTCATACTTCATCCTTTCTTTAATAGTTGCAACATGAGATATTTTGTACTAATCAACACACTTTATTTTGACCATAATTTTCTACTAATATATATAAATAAATTATGGTGAATAAAATGTTATTTTTAATTTCTATTAGAAGAAATTCCACTTATGGTCCTTCGAATTTTGCACCAATTCCACAATTAGTCCTCGTCTTTCATTTTATCTATTTTTGGTACCTGACTATTGTTTTCTTGACCATATATAGTCCTTTTTCGATAGTAAAAATGCTCAGAAATGGACCACAAATGGTCAAGAAAACAATAGTCAGGTACCAAAAATGGATAAAGTGAAAGACGAGGACTAAATATGGAAATGACACAAAACTCGAAGGACCTAAAGTGTAATTAATTCATTTCTATTATAGTAGAATTTTTGAAACATTAACTTTTTATAATATTTACTACGGAGTAATACATAATTAAATATAATTACGGTCAAAATTATGCGTTGACAAATGTAAAAGTCAAATTGTTGCAATTGTCTAACATAATACGTAGTACTACTTCCGTCCCGGTGGGCTTTGCCAAATGCAAAGTAGGTGAGAAATGAGGACAGTAAAAGTTGCGTGATTGAGATTTGTGCAGATGAGAGAAAAATGTGCAGAACAACAAATTGATTTCTTTAATAGGAAAGTGACAAAATTTTTTGGAACAACAAAAAAGAAAAATTGACAAAGTCTAATGGGATGGAAGGAGTATATTTTTGTATTGATCGATACTCATAATAAAATCTATTTCCAAAGTACGGAGTAATGTATTGTTCAAGGGATATTTTAACACATTTTGGCTCCCTTTTGGCTTTTGAGTTTTGACTGCATTTAGGACAAAACTTTTGTTCCTTGCATTGGGAAGACCGGAAGAGGGAGTATTATTAACGGATAGACGCGGCGAGGTTGCGGTTGGACGGTAAAAAATAGTTATATTTTAATCTTCAATTAATTCTCCAATATTTCTTCTTCGTGAGCTGCGAGTCTCTGTGACGGCGTCTTTCACAGAGAGAAGGCCGATTCAACTGTCCGTTTCTGAATCTATACCTGACGGGATGATGAAGAGGAAGAAGAGGGCAGAGGAACGGGGAGATTGGTGCAAAAAAGGGGCGCAAGTTGAAGTCAGCCTGGAAGACGACGGTTTCCGAGGCTCCTGGTACGCCGCCACCGTCCTCCGCACGATTTCCCGGAAGAACAACAAGATCTTCCTGGAGTTCCACAACCTCGTCGACGACGCTGACCCCGCCAAGCCCCTCCACCAGTCCGTCCACTTCATCCTCGTCCGCCCCGTCCCCCCACGCGAGCCCACGCGCTCCTTCCGGCTCAGCGAAGAGGTCGACGCTTTCCACGTCGACGGCTGGTGGGAGGGCGTGGTCACTGAAGTTCTAGATTCTTCCAGATACTCCGTCTTCTTCCGCTGCTCCCGCGAGCAGATTCAGTTCCACGAGTCGCAGCTCCGCCTCCACCGCGAGTGGTTCCACCGCCATTGGGTCCCTTCCTTCCCCGATCCTCCTCTTCCTTCCTCTTAATTAGGTTCGTTTTATCTTCGATTCTCATGTATTAATTTCTTAATTAATTGTTGGTATGCTCAGGGAATACAGGGTTTTAACTTGCTATTGCGGTTGTGTTTGGGGATATTACGGTTATTGTGGGCTGTGGCTTTCATTTGTTCCAAAAAAAAGTGGAATCTCCCACCCTAGGAGTCCCCAACCCGATCTGACAGGATGGTGAGGAGGTTAGTCACGGTGACTCGGTCATCAGAATGCCAGTAGACCCATACACCCGTGCGCACCAGAGACCCAATCTTATTTCAGGTTATGTGACTTCCACCCGGTCACTGCGGGGATTCGAATCTTGGTTCATTGTTCCAAAAGGCCAGCGTAGGTGCACGGAGGGGCAATCAAAATTTTGACAAATTTTCCACAATACCTGAACTTTACCTCTCCATCACATTTTGTCGTACAAATTTGAGTTCCAATCATACTTTTTAAATCATTTATATTTGCAACCCAAATTTGAAAATTTGAGTCTCACTTTAAAAAAACGGGATGCAAGTTTAAATTTTCCTATATAATCTAATGTTTGAACAGTGTAGAACACTTCTCATGTTTGGAATTGATTCCGTGAAGTAGAATCAGAATTTATTTTCCAGAAACTGCTCTTCCTCAGTTTCTCAAAAACTACTTCTATGTTCTCATACACTCTAATACTCCCTCCGGTTCCAAAAGATCTTGACACTTTGACTTCACAGTTTTTAAGGAAATAAACACTGTTTGGCACTGTTTGACACTGTTTTGTGTAGATTTATTTGCCAAATAAGGCAAATAAGGAAGTGTAAAGATCTTTTAGAACCGGAGGGAGTGTGTTCTTATACTTCTTGAAAAACATAATCGGTATTAAGAAATAGATCCAAACACTTCCTTAAATTGTGATTAAAAAGGATTACTTTTTAAAATTTTTGGATACAGTTTACCTTGTTAACTTTCCCATTTTATCTTTATATCTACAAGTAAATAAGAAATGGCAAATATAAGTCTAAAATATAGTGGATAGAAATGTGACTTTTGATATTCTAGTTACTATAATAATAATTATGGTGACTATGCTTATATTCAATTTTTCATTCATGTGTTATTTCAGTAATATTTAAGGAAAACACTTTTTTCATTTTATCAATCCTTAGTTTATCTGTCTTTTTTTGCAAGGAGTTTATCTGTCTTTGAAAGTGTTATGATGGAAAGATAACAACTACTACGGTATGAAGTATGTATCAAGTGAAATATTTTCATAAAAATTCACGTATAAAGTTTTGAATTACGGTGGCTTAAGGTGTGATGTAGTAGGATGATGAGGCCTTTATGATACGGCTAGAAAGCATAAAAACTGTTGTAATTTTCAGTTTAGTAGAAATAATTGTGTAATTCAAAATGGTGCCGGACGCCGGTTACACTTGACTAGGTCGTAATTTGAGCTTATTAATTACGAGTATTATGGAGCATATGTTAACATCATAGTTAGTTAATGATCGAGATCTTTTAAACACATTTGGTACTTAAACAACATGTTTGTTTTCTTTGCAGTTACTGGTGGACGTAGCTCAACTGGTACATAGAAGGAGTAAGTCTCGATTTGAATCCTGTCAACTGCAATGAGAGGTTAATATGCTAAAAATGCATTGGGCATCCGCAAGTACCAGACCTAGAGTCTCACTCTCTATCTACCAGCTTGTGATTAAAATCCAACTTACGTCCTCCCATCTAATTTTCCGGGTGTAGTTTTTTTGTTTTCTTTGCAGTATTGTGTCATCAGGTGGGGCTTATTTTTGTGATGACTGCATGGACTGGATTTTAAGTGGTACAACTGTAGTTCAACACTCAACTTGTGTACTTTTTTGTTAAAGATGTTTTTTGACCCCTAGTGATTGGTCCCAGGAGCATGTATGTAGGCAAAATATATAGACAGCACCTCAACAAGCACCTTAACATGCTCCTCATTGATCCACATCTCCATATGCGTATATTTATGTTAAATTTTATACTTTGGATTCAGTGTTGATGATGTATTTGTTGTTGACTTGATAGTTGCGATGACTTGATGTAGGAGTAACTCTTTGAATGGAATGTCAATGTGTTCAATTTTACAACAGATTTTTCAACTGGGGGCGTAGCTCAACTGGTAGAAAGGGAGTGCCACAAGAGTTAGGTCCCGGGTTCGAATCCCGGTAACTGCGATGAGGGGTTAGTGGTGGACTCGGGCCGGACCAACCGGCCCGGAACCGGACCGGCCCGCTACTGTGCGGGCCCGGACTGGCCCGGTTCGTTGGTTAGGTCACGGTTCGGGCCACCCGGCCCGGTCATGTAGCGGTTCGGGCCCGGGCTTATAAGTTGGTGAACCGGCCCGGCCGGGCCGAGCCCGGTCCGGGCCTCAACGGTCACAAAAAAAAAAAAAAAATTTTTTTAAAAAATTTGAAGGCTCTACTAGCCGTTGGGAGACCTCCCAAACGGCTCTATAGCCGTTGGGAGCATAGGAGGGGGGGTCTGGGGGGTTAGGGGGGGTGGGGTGGGGGTGGGGGTGGGGGTGGGGTATACAAAAAAAAACCTATTTATACTCCTATTTTCTATACATTTTTTACACCTACAACTCTTTCTACTCTCTAAAATCTAAATTCTCTATTCTCTTAATCTCTCATATTCAATCATCTTCATTCTTCATCTTCTCCAAATTCTTTCTACATATATATAATTTATATAATTATTATATCTACTTATATATTATAATATTAATTATCTACTTATAAATATATACTTATACACATTCATATTATAATTCTTTACGCATTATATTATATACTATATATTGTTATACATATATATTATATATTACTTATAATATATTTACACATTATATATTTATATATACTATATATAGTTATACATTATATTATATATTACTTAGAATATAGTTATACATTATATTATATATTACTTATAATATATTTACACATTATATATTTATATATACTATATATAGTTATACATTTGATTTATATATACACTTCTCGTTTATCTATTTAATTACTTAATTGTTTCATTTTTCATATTAATATTAGTTAAAGTAGTTAAAGTTAATTGTTTCATTTGTCATATTAATATTAGTTAAAATACTTAATTGTTACATTTCTCATATTAGTTAATTGCTACATTTTTACATTTCTCATATTAGTTAATTGCTACATTTGTACATTTCTCATATTAGTTAATTAGTTAATTGCTACATTTTTACATTTCTCATATTAGTTAATTAGTTAATTGCTACATTTTTACATTTCTCATATTAGTTAATTAGTTAATTGCTATATTTTTACATTTCTCATATTAGTTAATTGCTACATTTTTACATTTCTCATATTAGTTAATTAGTTAATTGCTATATTTTTACATTTCTCATATTAGTTAATTGCTACATTTGTGCATTTCTCATATTAGTTAATTAGTTAATTGCTACATTTTTACATTTCTCATATTAGTTAATTAGTTAATTGCTACAATTTTACATTTCTCATATTAGTTAATTGCTACATATCTCATTAAAGTAAAAAAAAACTAGTTAATTTTTACATTTCTCATATTAGTTAATTGCTACATATCTCATTAAAATAACAAAACTAGTTAATTTTTACATTTCTCATATTAGTTAAGTGCTAATATTTGTTCAATTTTAAATATGGAGCGAGGTAGACATTCTGTAGATGTGGGTAATCTCCAACGCAACCGCAAGAGGGAGATTGCATCGACTCGATCTACTTCACGCAAAGGCAAAGGTAAAGCGCGGGCCGAGTCTTCTTTTCAAAGTCGAGATGATTTTGAAACGGATTACCAACGGTGAGATGGTATGATGATGTCCGACGAGGAACTACAACACCTATTGTCCCAAAATGATCCACGTTTTGCACAAGAACAACAATTCCCGACAACCATCGATGAAGAGGAGCTCGAGGATGACGATGGGGAGGAGGACGCGGGGGGCGACGGGACTCCGGATGATGAGGAAGAGGACGAGGGCCCTTCAACGACTACAACCAAAATTGGTAAGAAATCTAAATCTGCTATTATTGAAAACAATTTTACAAAAAGGAAAGACGAAAAAACCGAAAAATGGTACGCAAGTTGCAATCATTGCAAGAAAGAGTTTAGCTTGGGAATTTCTGGCGGATACGGGAGTCTCAAAAGACATCTTCAGTCCACCCACGTTGTGGAGTATGCGAAAATAGACAAAGGAAAGGGGAAGCAAACACAAATATCAAGGTTTGCAAATTCTCAACCCTTTGGTAATTTTTCCTATGATGATAAAAAACATTTGACTGGTATGTCTCATTTAATTGTTGAAGAAAATTTACCCTTTATTTTTTCCGAAAGTCTTGCTTTAAGAGATTATGCTCAAGGTACTTTAAATCCTCAATTTAGAAATTATAGTCGCAAAACGATTAAAAAAGAAGTTATAAGGCAATATAACTTGGAAAAAGAAAAATTACAAATATTTTTCGCAAACTTTGATGGACGTGTTAGTATTTGTAGCGATATATGGGAGGATACTTATCATCATTTATATTATTTGGGTCTAACTGCACATTATATTGATGATGATTGGAATATGCATAAACGTGTTCTTGCTTTTCGTGAATTCAATGATCGTCACACTGCTGATAATATTTATATTCTCATTGAACGTATTTTAATTGAGTATAATTTGATTGATAAGGTGTTTGCTGTAGGTTTTGATAATGCTAGTAATAATACTGCTGCTATACCTAGATTACGTGAATTGTGTGGTGCTTCTACATTGATGGGTAGATTTTTTCATCAACGTTGTGCATGTCATATTCTAAATTTGTGTGTACAAGATGGCTTAGCGGCATTAGGAAATGCTTTGGAGGTAGTGAAGGGGGGAATTAAATTGATTTGGGCTAACACTCCACTAAAAATGCAATGGCGGCAATATTTGAAGGATAGACGCGTGAATTATTGTGCTTTTCCTAAAGATTTGTCTATTCGTTGGAATAGTACTTATAATTTAATTCAAGTACTTGTTAGATATAAAGATCATTTTCCAGCTTTTTTAAGACAAACTTGTAACTATATTATAAACCCGGCTGACATCGACACTTGTGAAAAAATTGTTAATGTTTTGGCATATTTTAATAACGCAACTCTAACTTTTAGTCATGTTTATAAACCTACCGCAAACGAATTTTTTGTTGAAGCTGTTAATCTCGCCGGCGCTTTTTGTGAATTTTCCGACGCCGCTTACGTTAGTTATTTTTGTGATTTCATGAAACAAAAGTTTTTAAAATATTATTCACATATTCCGCATATATATGGTATTGCATTTGTTCTTGATCCTCGTTATAAACTTCCTTACTTGGCAAATTGTATAGATTACTATTATGCTTCTTTTTTTCCAACTCAAGAGTTCGATGATAATCCCATCGACCCTAAACAAGAATTCAACGAGGTTAGTAATTTATTTCATCAATTGTATAATGAATTTCATGCACAATATGGTAATGCACCCCCTCCCATGCAACGAACATCTTCTTCATCTAAAGGAAAATCACTTTTAAAATCCGCTTTTGGTTCTCTTTTGAAAAAAAGTAGAGCAACTCCCGCTACTGAACAAAGCTCAGGTAACGAGCTTTCTTTGTATCTAACATTGAATGTTGATTATGAAGTTGGTGATGACTTTGATGTTCTTAAGTGGTGGAAGGAAAATGAAAGAACATTCCCGATTTTATCAAAGATGGCTAAGCAAGTACTAGCAATGCCGATATCAACCGTTGCCGTGGAACAAGAATTCAGTGCGGCCGGCAACGTCCTAACCGATTTTAGAACGAGGTTGAGCCCGAGCTCTCTTGAGACACTAGTTTGCTTTCACGATTGGTTGAAGGCCCAACGAAGAACTCAAGAAATTACCATCACTCCCTCCCGCCACTTTATGGAGGAAACAACCGAAGGCGGAGAGTCCGATTGATTTTTTATTACAAAATGTATTACATTTTTTAAATTCATCCTAATTCTCAATTGTACTTCTTATTTGAAATAAATATACTTCAATTCGAATATAATATATTGTAATTGTAATAAGATTTATTCTAATTATATAATAATTAAAAAAAAATTAAATAGGCCCGGCCCGGCCCGCCGGGCGGCCCGGCCCGTGAACCGGGCGGGTGACCCGAACCGAACCGGACCCGGGGTTATCCGGGCCGGTTCCAGGCCTGCCTTCCTAGAACCGAGGCCCGGCCGGGCCCAGGCCCGAACCGGGCCCGAACCGGCCCGAGTCCATTCCTATGAGGGGTTACTATGCTAAAAAATGCATAGGGCCTCTGCAAGTACCGGAGACAGAGCCTCACTCTCTATCTGTCAGATTGAGATTATAGTCCAACTTACATCCTCCCAACGTACTGTCCGGTCGGGGTTGGGGGCCCCTCAGGGATGGGGTGTCATCATTTTTTTTACAACAGATTTTTCAAGATGAATTATAGAAGGAAAGTAAAATAAATACATGACTATTCTAGTATTTTGTGAATGGCAACTCATGTTCCAGCTTTATATTGTTATAAAGCCTCCGTTGGTCCGTCCCATATCTATCTATCTACTTGCCCTGCAATAGTTGTTTGCTTCTCAATGTACGAAGTATATGGATATATGATACACATATACCGACATTTGAATGCCTTCCCGATTGAAACTTTAGCTGAAATTTGATATGAGTAAACTAGATTTAATGAATAATATGTTCAAAAAATTGCATAAAAAATTTTCAACGGGAACCGCCCCAAATGACGACGGCCGGACATAACCTCCTATATAAGGGCTTATTTGACCTTTTTTGGTTAGCACGTGGGTTTATTTGCCCCATTTCCCTTTGTAAAATGAAATCAACTTTTTCATTTGTATTCCAACATTTTTAAAGATGATATCAAATTAAGTTATTTTTTATTCTCTTTCATAAGATACTAATATTGAATGTGTAAAAAAAAAAACATTACTTCTTCTGTCCCTAAATTATTTTTTCAAAATACTCCGTAG